TTGATTTCATTTGGAATGATCCAAATTCGATCTATTTATGATAAGATCAAATATAGATTTACTCCCTGATATGATACATTCCGATTAAATTCTATTTAAATATATACTCATACATATACTTAAAATTTTTATTGTATTAATATAGATGGTTTAAATGTTGTGTTTTCATCAAATTGGCATAAGTTGAAATTTCATAAAGTAATTTTCAATTCATTTTATTCACAAAAAGAGCAATATTGATGAAGGGTTTTTTGGCAGCACCGTGTTGTTCAAACTACTTCCAGGTGGCCGATGACTCAGAGGCCGAAGTAGAGGATTTTTGCTAGATGATGACTTGCATGCCGAGTTGACTACGCCGAGTTGGGGGTAGATTGGGTGCCAAGCTAGGTTGATTGTTGAGCTAGGTAGCTCTTTAGAGAAACCTGCAAGGAATCAATGTTAGAGGACCCAGGGTGGTTAACCCGGTGAGGTTGCTCCGATGATTAAGTTAGTACTCTCGTAGTAGATCGCGAGCTAAAAAAAATCATAAAGTATGAGAGATAGAATGTGCTTACTCGCCTCTCTCTTGTGTCATTGGGGTTGGTGCCTTTATATAGGCATTGTTTGGTTTGGGCCTCACGCACTACATTTGAGATTTCTGAGAGGTCGTGCCTAACTGGTCCGAGATCCTCGGAGGTAACCGCCATGCACGTTGACCATCCTCCGGAACATTCGGTACGTGGGCCAACTTCCGAGAAACCTAGGAGCGTCGGGATATGCATGCTGAATTTGTCGGCGAGCACATCTCGCATGTCAACGCCTGGTCTCCAGTCAGGTCGGCAAGCCCTTGAGGGAGGTTGCTCCTTGCGTTGAGGTCACTTCGACCAGTGACGAGGTGCTACAAGCTAACCCTGGACAAGGTGCTAAAAGCCGACCTAAGTTGTGGTCGAGGTCGCTAGGTCAACGTAAGGTTTCCAGGCCAGGGTAAAGACGAGCCGCGATCTGGGACTCCAAATCATCACTTAGGTGGTGTTTAGGTGTCATCTAGAATGACTGATTCAATAAGATGAAAGTAGCTCGATGAAAGGAGTAGATCGTTCCTTTTGGCCTAGAATGACTGATTCGATAAGCTTGTAGTCGTAAGCGTCGGTCCAATTTGCTTCTCAGGTCGAAAGAGTCCAAGTGTTTGCAGCCTTACGTAGGACCTCGCTGTCTTGATTATCGGGGCACGAGAGCGAATTCATCTGCTCAATGAGAGGTGGAGCAGGTACCCCGAGGGCATCTACCTTATTAGGGATGCGGCCATCAAGGGGTTATACAATCCAACTAAGTACCTCAAGAGTGAAGCTCATCATGCCGTCCTCAAGAAGGGGCTCTGTGTGGTTGTTTTATCAGGTCTCTCCACCTAGGAAGACTTCGACGTAGTGTTTCTCGAGCCGGTTCTCAAAAGAGTAGCCAGTGAGTTCGATGAAGAGCTAGGAACTAAGGTGGAGGTCGACCGTGAAAAGATCGGCCAAGTTTGCGTCCATCATGATGCTGAAAGTGAACTACTCTTTCCTTTGTTTTTCTTTCTTGTTCTGAATTAATCTTCCTTCCATCGTTTCTTTTTCTCTCTTTCTTTTTCTCCAAAAAATTTTCTAAGTGTGGATTCACCTAAGGTGCCGAACTGGTGGGCGGGGCATAGTTAGGAATAATCCGAGGTCGATGTAAGCTGAGGGGTGCGAACACTATAGGGAATGTATCCGACATGTTTGCACACCGATGAAGCGAGCTGCTTTTTTATTTCACCCATGCCGGAGAGGCGACTGGGGTTTAGGTTACCCCTACTGAAGCGACTAGGGTTTAGGTTGCCCATGCCGAAGCGATTGGGTCTTGTGTGGTGCTGAGTTCTTCTGTCAGCTCGCCACCATAACCCTTAGGCCTAGGGAGCGACTCGTAGTCCACTTTTCTTATTCTTGACTTTGCCCATGCCGAAGGGGCGACTAGGTCTCAGGTTGTGCCGAGGTCTTTATTAGCTCGGCACCTTAGCCCTTAGGCTCTGGGAGCGAATTCGTAGTCCACTCTCCTTAATATTATTTGGCCGATGTGCGGTCTGACCTTTCCGCCTACACGGGTGGTCATTCTGTAGTAAATTTTCATATGGCTGCTTCTACATCATCCCGTGGGATTATCTTCCTGAGTGCTTGCGAGACCACGACGTACATGTTCTGCCCCCCGCTTGCGAGGGCATAATGTTGTTGTCGGTGTGAGTGGGCAGTTTAGGGCCACGACTGCACTGTATCAACCTCATAATGACACTAGTTGTCCACTCTTACAAGAATCCACAGGGAGCTCGACCTGCGGGAGCAGCTCTACTAACTATAGGTTTCCGACTCACTCAGGTGCCTTGAGGGGCTCGACCCGCAAGGGCGTTTGTATAGTTCGTAGGCCACTAACTCCCGTGGGATCCACGAAGGGTTCAATCTGTAGGGGAGACCTCACGAAGAGGACTGATGAGCCTTATTCAGGCTAAAATAAAGTCAGCAGAGCTGCTTAGTTTGTTGGCCATCAACTTCCAACGGGAACCATGGCTGGCTCGACCTGCGGGGACAACCTTACTCCGAGGTGCTTGTCGCCAAACTGCTGGTTGTTAAGGTCGTTCTATTGCTGCCTATTCAGCATCGACATGAATACGTTGAGCTTCTCCCGTGCTCACATATGGAAATTCATGCTTCATCTCATGGAACTGCCGCGCTTCGATCCGACAGGAACTGCTAATGGCTCTACCGTGGGGAGAGGGGCATTCACATGCGGTAGCGGGGTATTTATCTAGGGCACTGGGGATGCTGAGTTCGACCTGAACTTGTCTGGTTGTCATTGGGGAGTTCTCCAGGTTCATCACAGATGTTTTTGCCCCCCAGTAACCGGCATTCGTTCTGAGTGTTGATGCTGCTCAAAAGTGCCTTTGAGTTCATAAAAAATGGAAATTAGAAAGTGAGAACTTTAATTTCTAAAATGTGAGATCTTAGCTTTCTAGAAGATAAGGACTTAGCTTTTTAGAGGTGAAAACTTAGCTTCTTGAAGCGTATCCCACAGACAATGCCAATTGATGAAGGGTTTTTTGCAGCACTCTATTGTTCGGACTACTTCCAGGTGGCCGATGACTCAGAGGCCGAAGTGGAGAATTTTTGCTGGATGACGACTTGGATGTCGAGCTGGGGGTAGATTGGGTGCCAAGCTGGGTTGATTGCTGAGCTAGGTAGCTCTTTAGAGAAACCTACAAGGAATAAATGTTAGAGGACCCGGGGTGGCTAACCCGACGAGGTCGCTTCGATGATTAAGTTAGTACTCTCGTAGTAGACCGCGAGCTAAAAAATCATAAAGTATGAGAGCTAGAATGTGCTTACTCGCCTCTCTCTTGTGTCATTAGGGTTGGTGCCTTTATATAGGAATTGTTTGGTTTGGGCCTCACGCACTACATCCAAGATTTCTGAGAGGTCGTGCCTAACTAGTCCGAGATCTTCGGCGGTAACCACCATGCACATTGACCATCCTCCAGAACATTCGGTATGTGGGCCAACTTTCGAGAAACCTGGGAGCGTTGGGATATGCATGCTGAATTTGTCGGCGAGCACATCTCGTAGGTCACCGCTTGGTCTCCAGTCAGGTCGGCAAGCCCTCGAGGGAGGTCGCTCCTCACGTCGATGTCACTTCGGTCAGTGACGAGGTGCTACAGGCTGACCCTGGACGAGGTGCTACAAGCCGACCTAAGTTGTGGTCGAGGTCGCTAGGTCGACATAAAGGCAGATTGTCAGGTCGGCGATGAAGGTAGGTTGCCAGGTCGACGGTAAAGGTAGGTCGCTAGGTTGGGGTAAAGAAGAGCCACGATCTAGGACTCCAAATCATCACTTAGATGGTGTTTAGGTGTCATCTAGATATTCTGAGATGCCATGTGTCACAATGTCATTGGAGGGCCAAATCTGCCTTATCAAATATCAAAGTCATTCTTACTTCATTTTTATGAATAACATAAATATTATGATCATTTTTAGTTTAATTTACTTACACCATTTAATATTTGATTACAGTCCAAATTGAATAATACCCGATTCAATTTGATCGGTTTGCAGCCCTAAAAGGGGTTAGCTGTTGTAATTGATCAAGTTGTAGAAAAAAAAATAGTAGAAAAACTCACATTTGAATTAAATTTAAAAAAATATTAATTAAAAAAACATCACAAGGAGAACCGCATAATTATCTCTGACTTATAATATAAAATAGGCATATGAGAAAGGATTGAAAAGGGACTAGGATGGCAGAATGGACTTTAAGGTGTGGTCCAGTATAGCTTGGTTTTTATATAAGACATCAACCTCACAGGTTGGGCTTGGGCCTGAATTTTCTTCTTTCTTTAAATGGGTGAGATTTGGGCCAAAAATGAAGAAGGCGGGGGGGGTAGATTGGGCCTTGATACAATTCTAATTTCAAAGTTGCTGATTGATTTTCACTTTCTCAGCCCATCCCAATTCATCAGGTATAGGTTCGGCTTGAGAGGTGGAATCCTTATTTTTCCTAGTTTTAACTTTAAAGCGTTCGCTCTAAAGTCCAATACTCTCTAATCTGATTCTACAACTCCAAAAGTCTGGAACCAAGAAGAATAAGATGCGTCCGGTTAAATTTTGGAATTTTCCTGGTGCAAAAAGGACAAAACACAACCTGCCCTCAAACTCACATAATAAGGAGTACGTAGATAATCCTTCTAAGATCCTTCGTAGTATCAACCGCTACCGTTGCGTGGACCCCACCTAAAGCTAAAAACTCCCTGATGTATTCATGTCATAGCTCGGTAAAACAGATGCCATGTCGTATTTTCATTTGTCCAAAGAGGAAAGGATAAGAAAAAGGTAAGCAGCATCATACTCGCGTCCCACACGTACGGTCATACTCGAATTCTCCACCACAATTGGATTTATGGACACGCAACCATCCAAGTTGCAGCTTATCTAGCCTCCATTGCGATTGCTCCCTGTCCCTCTGCTCTCTTTCTCTCTCTCTCTCTCTCTCTCTCTCTCTGTCTCTCTGTATCTCTGTCTGTCCAACAAAAACGAAGATGAAGGGATTGAAGATCTTGTTGGTGTTGATTGACATGGCGTTAACTCTATGCGCTTGTCATTCTAGCGCTGCTCTTCATCCTTTGATTCTGGTGCCTGGAAATGGCGGAAACCAGCTTGAGGCCCGCTTAACAGGCGCCTTCAAGTCATCGAGCCTGCTGTGCTACCAGCCGTTTCTTCATCACAAGGAAGAAGACAAGAGTGATTGGTTCAGGCTGTGGTTCGATCCCAAAATTCTGCTATCTCCTTTCACTAGGTGCTTTGCTCAGCAGATGACCCTTTACTACGACCCAGACAAGGATGACTACCATAATGGTCCAGGTGTTGAGACCAGGGTTCCTTTCTTTGGATCTACTCAAAGCCTTGCCTACCTTGATCCCAACCTTAAGTAATCTCTCTCTCTCTCTCTCTCTCTGAACATTCAACATGGAGGGGTTCCTTTCTATAATATGAGTGCTTTATGATCGCATTCTTGTTTTTCTTGCTAACTCTGTTGTTTCAATCCCCAGGCACATAACCTCATATATGGCAAACCTTGTGAAATCACTGGAACAAATTGGCTACATAGATGGTGTAAACCTATTTGGAGCGCCATATGACTTCCGCTACGGTCTAGCCGCAGAAGGTCACCCATCTTTCGTGGGCTCTCGCTTCCTCCATGATCTAAAGGAACTGATCGAGAATGCAAGCGCGACTAATGGAGGAAAGCCTGTGATAATCATGTCTCACAGCTTAGGAGGCCTCTTCGTGCTCAACCTCCTCAACAGAAATCCACTCTCTTGGCGCCGGCGATACGTAAAGCACTTTGTTGCACTGTCAGCGCCATGGGGCGGAACCGTTGAGGAAATACTCACCTTTGCTTCAGGCTACACCCTTCGCGTGCCCTTCATAGACCCTTTGCTGGTAAGAGAGGAACAGAGGACCTCAGAGAGCAACCTGTGGCTCTTGCCTTCTCCTAAAATATTTGGCCAGATGAAGCTTCTGGTAATTACCCAGAATGCAACTTACTCAGCATCTGATATACCACGATTCCTGGAGGATATAGGTTTCCCCCAAGGAGTTCAACCTTACAAATCGCGCATTCTGCCACTAATCGAACACGAACAGTTGATAGCGCCAGAGGTGGCGGTTACTTGCATAATTGGGTATGGCGTCGAGACTCCCGAGACCTTGTTTTATGGAAGTGAGGGGTTCGATAAGCAGCCTGAAGTTGTTTATGGGGATGGGGATGGGACTGTGAACATGGTAAGCTTGTTAGCTGTTGAAGCCAAGTGGGCCGACACGGCAGAGCAGCCTCTTAAGGTGATCAGAATCCCTGGTGTTTCTCATACGGGCATCCTCAATGATATTGTTGCACTTGAGAAGATCATTACTGAAATTTCTGATATAAACTCAGTTGTTACTGGCTCTGTTGCATAGAAGTTATACTTATACCTATAAATTTCTTCCTCTTTTTTTTTTTCTTCTTTAATTCAAATATTGATTTGTCCCTTACAACTGAGATATATGATTGTTCAAAATTGGACCTTGAGAAATGAGGATGGTTTGTTTCTTAATTATAAGTGCATATTGGACGCCTCTGGCTCTGGTTGCTTTGGGTGGTGTTTGCCACAAGGATTTACTACTAGACGACTCAAGTGAAGTGTGGGCAGTGGAGGAAAGTATTCATGGGAAAGCAGGTCTGATGAGAGGGCCAAAGGGAACAATTTTGATGCTAGGCCCTGGCTCTGTTCGGTAGAACTCCTATTCTGTAGAGGCCTAGAGGGCCGAGGTTTGATCACGAGAGAGAAGACAGGAGACATTTCAAGCTGCACTGGGTCGAATTTCAGACCCAATCAACATTGAGTCAGGATCTCCTGCACTCGTGTTCTCCCATTGGTTGCCCGCTCAAGAGAAAAAAAGACATTCTGTGAAAAAACATATATAGCAGGAGAAAATTAGGAAAAACTAACCCTTCTTAAAGCCAAGGTCTTCCATTGATGACGTTTTTGACGTATCTCTGATCCAAAACAAGCGGAATCTTGGGTGAGTTCAATAAAATAAGCAAGATAAAACATGGCAGGAGAATAACAATACAGAGCAGTTTCTTGGGTGAGCTCAGCAACACAAAACAGCAATATTTTATTGGCTCTAGAAGTTAAATACCACCTTTTTATACGAAAACTAATAAAAATTTTTGCAAACTCTGTTTTAAGACCTTCCCGGCACCATAGATATTGCCCGGTTGTAAGTAACCTCTATTTTACCTCAACTCAAAACACAAGATGCTCAACCATCTGTTGATAAATGAACTTTTGTTTAACCTCTCAGTTTCACATGAACCATCTTTACCTTTCATCGTCCTTGCACTATCAGCTTTCAGAGGCCCATGGGGTCCTTTGGGTTCATTGAGAAATCCTTGATTAAATACCTTTTATTTTCATTTTTGCTCAGAGAAACCGTTAATAGAATACCTTGGCGGAAGAAGGGTTAGGTTTTTTATTTTAATTTTAAGTTTTTGAATTTGAAAATAAAGAAAATAAGACATAATGGAGGGATCAACTCTCCACCTAGTGATCTCGCACAAGATTTTAGATCTGCTACCAACAAAACGCTCTCAACATGTCCCAACTTGTAGTCACACATGAACATCTCCTTGTCATTCATGGGAAGATAATCCCAACGTGCGGTTGCAGGGGGCTAGTGGGAGTATTTTATTGATAGCAGATCCCTACCCCTTGCACAGGTGCTCACAGAAAATGGGAGTGCATGCAGGCTTGCCTTAACACAACTACACAAGTGGATTAGCTGTATTATGGGACTTGATGAAGGAAGATTTGGCCCGACCTCGCAAATCACGCCACGTGGCAAAAAATAAGTAGCTCGGCACTTAAAACAGCGTACCGAGGGTACAAACACCAAAGGGAAAAGACCAGCGATCCGAACTCCCCTCGAGGAGACCGAACTCCCCTTGAGGAGACCAACTCCCTAAGAGGAGCCCGAACTCTCTACTTAGAGCTCGAACTCCCTACGAGGAGCCCGAACTCTCCCTTTGGCCCCGAGCCACACAAAGCAGTGACCCGAACTGGCCTGTCTCATGACAGTTCAGGACACCCCTTCCTATCCGAACTCAAGACCGCCTCACACGTCGCTCCAAGCACTTCGCCTCCAAAGCATTGAACTGGACGAACCACACCGTACCTGACACCGAAGGAGTCCGTATCCAGGGGCGGCGCACCTGACTGACTTGGGATCTGACGCTTGACGGCCGCACTTCAACGGCCACCTGCCGCCGTCACCTGCCACCGCCATCTCCGGTTACAGAGACGACTCCGACAAAAAGAGCAATGATGGTTCTGCCCCAGCAAAGGCAATGACGCCCGAACTGGCAGAAGCACGGAAGTAATCATTCCCGACCTGACAGAAGTCTAGGAGTGAATGCGCGAGGTGGTTATAAAAGGCTCTCCACTTCCCCAAAGAGGAGGTATGCAATCTTTGCGCTATCTGGTTTTATTTGCCTTTGAAGGATTCTAACTTGAGTTTCGGAGCCTTTACACCGGGTTCCCCCCGGAGCTTCCTCGTCTCCTTCGTTTCAGGTTCCCTGCTATCGAGTTCAGAGGCAAGGTCGTTGACAGCTAAGACCGGCCGGAATGCGCATCATCAGGACTCTTGATCTTCTGCCCAAGTCTACCCATAATACAGTATCCCCATGTATTGAAACATCTCCAGTGCAAAATACCATGTAAGGGGATGAAATGTTCTCCATGTGTGACTGTGATGATATGTGGGTAAACGTGGGCAAAGTTATTGTGACTCGTGTTAAGAATTGTTTAACCAAAAATAATGCCCTGCCCTACCTCAGACATCAAGTGTTTAAGGCCCACAAGCACTCCGATCTACGCAATAGCTGATGTAGGCATTATTACTGGCTAAACAGCCCCGAACACAGCTATCAGTTGTAGTTAATTAATCTGAAGGCTCTTCATATAACCAGTAACCACTATCAAAAGTCAAAACCTTTACTATTGCTCAAACTAGTTAGAACATCCTTGCCTTTATTACTGCCGCATAACTTTCCCTCGTCTCTCCATCTGCATTCTCCCAAGGACCCAATAAAATAGTAATCCACCAAGTTTGATCAATTCCATGGATTTCCCTGTAGAAATCAAATATAACCAACCAACAACAAAGGAGCTGATTAGTGTTGTATTAGCATTTCATGTTGATCTTGAATTTTCTGATTAAATGGTGAGTCTAGACCCTAGAAACTGCAGCCTGCTTGTGAACCAAGCCACCAACTCTGTTTCTCTTCTCTTCTTCGTCAGCCCAAAATTTTCTCATCTACAGCTGCTATACCTGGCTGTTGCTCTCCTTGAGCTAGCACAAAGGTTCTTTTGATTCATTTTGTGGCCTGATGTACTCAAATCCTCCTTCATCATTAATCATGGCCTCAATTGGATCCTCTTACTCCAACGAGAAACACTGGTTAGGAATGTCTCGAGATCCAACCACCAGCTCCTCCCTATTAGCCTTTTATTCCTTTGTCTCCCTCTTATTTGAATTCTGTATTGCTCTAGGAATGCATATGTCCTTTGTTTCTGATTATATATGCCTTTCGCATCTGCCACTGTGTTATTAATAGTTCGTGTGAGGGTTTTACACGTATAACTACCTACTACCGTCATATACTCTAATACTCATACTGTTGGGTTAGTAGAATGATAGACCAGATTAACTGAATTCATTGGCTATTTAGTGGGTTGTGTAGCCATTATTAAACCCCCACACAAACTGTTAATTGCTATTTCCCACGACCACCCATCATTTTCTTGGGACCGGATGGGTTGGAGGCAATCATGCACATCGAATTGGGTTATCTATCACGAGTGAATATGACAATGCTCTTTATACATGAAGCCCACATAGGATCCACACCATATGCGAAAGGGAGCACTAGCATGATCAGTTGTAATAGGTAGCCCAGTCTGTTGTGCATGGGCCATGGTTTCGTCTCTAGCTAATCTAGATTTTAATTTCAAACTTTGTGCATATGGCTGATGTTGGGATATGGCATTGTATGATCGGCTTCGATTAGGACAAACAGCCTCTTACAACCTTGCATTGTAAATATTTCCAATGCAAGACTGTTCGAACGAGAGTTACCCTGATTGAATCCGATCTCAGTTATTGATACATATCAGTTTGGAATCTATCAATATGGTAAATACTAAAGGCTGAGATATTTGGCCACTTTTGAAGGTCGACCCTTCCTAGAAATGTCCTGCCTCAATTATTGAATAAAAGAAAAAATATCAATATTCCCAGGCCAAGCTTGGACACTTTCCAAATTACCATGAACCCACGGAAGTAGGGATTTAAGTCCGAGTCAAATAAAAAAAAAAGAGAGAGAAAACTAAAAAGCACAAGAACATGAGAGGACATGGCCCGCTTTGACACAGCAACCCCCACCCCTACGCGCTATAAGAGCATCAAAACAAAACAAAGAAAGGGCAGATCAACAATCAATGCAAAGTGAGAGAAGATGAGACTAGAGAGACCGAATCTCCTCTGTAGAGGGCACCTCACACCGACTTCACATGTACATCCTACCATGTATTGGGAACATTTTCCGTACTTATAAATTATTATTCATAGGAGGTGTTTCCACGCACCTAGAGGTGTAAACCAGGCCGTACCGTCTGCAGCCCAACACGAATTTGGACTGACCCGACACAGCACGGCACGATAGCCCATGGGCCATGCCAGGCCCGATACAATGGTTCGTACCGTGCTGGGCCTGGGGTTTTAGGTCCACGTCCCATATATATTATTTATATAATATTATATAAATAATAATTATATAATAATATATAGTATATAGTATATAATATATTAATAGAATAAATATTTTCTATTTTATTATAATAATTTATTTAATTATTGTATATATAAGCAATTATATACACAAAATTCATATAAAATTAAAATTTTAAGTTTTTTGTCATTTTTTTTTAAATAAATTGCTTTGGCCCAACCTGTCACAAGGCTCAGCCCGTGGGCCAGCCCGGCTCGTGGCACAAGCCCGCACGGGCCTGGGCTGTGGGCCATGCCAGGCCAACCCCCAAAATTTTCACCGGGGAAGGCGGCATGGCCCACTTTACACCTCTACACACACCTCACAATAACTTAACACCTAGTGTGAGGCACACTAGGTGAGGAGCAGATCCTAATTCAGTGGAGATTGATATTGGCAGAAGAGAGGTCTTGGAGGAGGTGAGAACCGGCAATAAAAATACCAAAAAGAGCCTTCTTTTATCCCTTTATGAGGCGTGCTATATGTGAGGAGCAGATCTCAATTCAGTGAAGATTGAGAGGTCTTGAGGGAGCTGAGAACTGGCTGCGAAAATACCAAAAAGAGCCTTCTTCTATCCCTTTATTAGCCAATAAATCAGCACAGTGGTTGCTCTCCCTCAAAGTGTGAGAGAAAGAAATGTCCATGTGGTTACACAGTGGCAAACCTTGTATCCTCTATTAGGTCCAAGGGAACTATACAGCTGAAATCAATGTTTCCGAACTG